ACCCTTTCTGTGCACTGCCTCTAGGCGTTCGAACTGGCTTGGTGATGGTGATATCAGGGGCATATGATAAAGAATGCGGCTTGTTATAAGCGCATCATTCAATTTAAGCATCGACATAGGATTGTTGCCCCAACGGACCCCTGCCATGCGACGAAGAGCGTTGATCCTTTGCACTGATGCAGTGACTATACCATCAACCGCACGTCGCCAGATAGCTTGTTGTCGATGGTAATGCCCAGGAAACGGACACTTGTTGCACAACGAATTGAGTGGCCTCGAATATTCAGCGACCGACGTGTTGACTTCCGTCGCGCTCCCGGGAAGAGCATGAAGGCCGATTTTTCCGCTGATAAAAATAGGCCAAGTGTCAACAAGTGACGCTCAATGATTGAAATAGCGCTCTGTGCTATCCGGGCCAAACGTTTGTGCTGGTACCCTGAGATCCAAATGCAAATGTCATCGGCGTAGATGGATATTTAACTGCTTTCAGAGCTAAGCGCAGAGTGTCGGGAAGGCTGGCCATGGCAGCGTTAAAAAGCAAGGGAGATAGAACACTTCCTTGTGGGACGCCGAGGGAAACGCGTCTCTCTTCGCTCGTTACATTTCCAAGCTTAACACGGACACAGCGGTCTCTGAGAAATTCATGTACGAACCGAAGAGCATTTCCCGACACACCGATGGCTTGGAGACCGTTCACGATGCCTCCCTGAAGCACACAATCATATGCCTTGGCAACGTCCATGAAGACGGCGAGTATCGAGAGTCCGCTGACGTGGTGGTGCTCGATGTGGCTTAATCCAAAACACTGTCCTGGGCACTCAGTCGTGGGCGAAATCCGGTCATACACGTTGGCCATCGTCTTCCTTGTTCAAAGTACCAAGTTAATCTTGTACATATCAATCTTTCCGTCAACTTAGATACGCATGATGTAAGAGATACCGGTCGATATGACGCGAGGCTCGCGGGATCCTTTCCGGACTTTAGGACTGGCACCACCCATGCTGTCTTCCAAACAAATGGAATCTCTCCCGTGCTCCAGACATGATTAAATATGTCCAAAAAGGCCCTTTTTCGCTCATATGGTAGACATGTCAGCATTTGATTGCTGATCAAATCGGGACCCACGGCACAGCGTCTTCTTAATTTGCTAAGTGCCATATCCAGCTCTCGAAAGGTGAATGGCGTATCCATCGTGTAAAAAGACTGGGGTGACAGAGGAATCGACGCTCCTGCTGATCTACTAGATGTGTATACGTCTGCGAAATCCTCTGCAAGGGTTTGCAAATCTATCCCTTGTTTCAAAGCGAGTGCTTCGAATGGCCTGTGTGTTTGGATCTTCCCAGAAAGACTATTTATTACTGCCCATATCTTTGTCAAGGGCGTAAACGTTGATAAACTTTCACAGAAAGCAGCCCATTGATTTCATCCTAATTTTTTTGTATGGCGACGAATCGCACCGTTTATCCTGTTATATTCGGTTTTCGCAGACGGATTTCCTTTTGTTCTCATTATTTTCCGCTCCGCCCGTCTACGTGCTGCGCAGAGGTTCTTCAATTTCAAGTCAGGAGCAGGAAAATGGTCGGGCAGTTTCAGCAACGAAGTTTCTGCTCACTTGCTTTGCAACATATCTGCGAACAGCTCAACAGTGGATTTCTCCAACGCTTCTCTGTAGGTGTCCCAGCGTGTTACATTGCAGAATTGTCGACCAGCAGTTCGAAATCGCAGGATATTGGTGAAGATGGGGAAATGGTCGCTGCCCATCCTGTCTGGAGTCGTGGTCGATGATACTAGAAGGTCCGTGGAGTGAAGTACAAGGTCTATTGCACTCCATGAATCTAGTGGCCTGAAAAATGTAGGTTTGCCATCGTTCGCCACACATAAGTCGGCAGCATCCGCAGCTGCTACAAGTTCCTTGCCTCGAAAATCTACACTCTTATCTCCCCAGAGTGGTGGTACGCGTTAAAATCACCACAGATTATTCGAGGAGCGTGACATCGAGTGCAAAGGTTCTTTAGGAAAGTTTCCATGGAGACCTTTTTTCGTGGGCTTATGTACACTGATACCACACTCAGTTTTCGGTTTCCCAGGCACACTTGCATAGCAGCGACTTCCAGTGAGTTGGAACAGAGGTCTTGCACTGGTAAGGTGACGTGAGGTATTTCCCGCCTTATGTATATCATTGCGCTTCCATTTGCAAACGACGTTATGCTCGGGTTGCCGTGTCGGGTGTATACCCTGGGAGCGTCCTTGCATTCGGTAGACCGGCTTCGGAGAGGGCTAGAATTGGTATTGGAATGTCGCACAGGAAAAGGTTGAGTTCGCACAGACGTTTTAGAAGACCGGCGCAGTTCCATTGCATTATTAAGGGCACTTTCGAAGGACGAAATAGACCAGGTGGATGAGACATTGCCATTATTCTACGGTGTGTTTGTGGAAGCAGAGCAAAGTAACACTGACTCTAGAGCCAGGACTGCTTCCAACATATCCTTCGTTGAACTCGCAGGCATCTTAGTGACGTGTGAACGTAGTGCGGTGAACAGAGTGCGAATAACATGCTCGAGGTTTTCTTGCTGTTTGCTTCCACATGGTACTTGAGGTGGGCTCAGTGCATCAGCGTAGGTGCGCTTGGCGGACTCTTTCGTGATACATTTCTCACCAGCGTTGAGCACTTGCGTTGACTCAGTACCAGCTCTTGTCGGATTTAGGCGCGGAAAATTTCCTGCGTACTCGTTATCCAAACCGCCATGTTGTGGCGTGCTGGACGTCTTCTTTGTGAGCGATGGTTCGTTCACAGTCTTCGGGCCAAGGACAAACGTCTTATTTATTCGCTGCGCAGCTGTTCGTGCTGGACATCGGCCGTAGCTAGCTGGGTGGTCGCCGCCACAGTTTGCACACACAAGTTTTTCTTTACTTGTACACGTCTTAAAGTCATGAGGCCCCCCACAGCGCTTACACCTTTGTTCCCCACGACAGTACTTAGCAACATGTCCAAAACGCAGACATTTAAAACAGCGTGGCGGCGTCTCCACGTAGTCTACCAGCTCGTGTCTGGTGAAGCCAAGGTTGATCTTCTCTGGACGTTCCGAATTGGGAGCGAATGTGAGAACCACAGAGTCAGTGCGCCTTGATTCCCACTCGGAGGATGAGGTTTGGACCCGTCGTATGATTCGTCTTGCGTGGTATACTCCCTGAGGTCTCAGGTAGGTTAACAGCTCTTCGTCCGAGTACCATCTTGGGACCCCTTTTATAATGCATGTATTTTTCATGTAGCTGTGTGGTACACGGGCAGGTATGACAAGGCCGCAGATAGTGTTGGTCTCTATAAGCATATTAGCTTGGTGTTCTGTCTTTATATCCAAGAGCAGGGCTCCCTGTGCTGTGAAATGGCTCTTAACTGGGGCTCCACCGAAAATCGTTTCAATTTCCGAGTATAGGTCAATAGGATTCACTTGCCTCAAGTTAGCTCCTTCGGATGTTGGAGCAATTAACACAGGAATGCCCACCGTCCTATCTTTGCGTTGTCGCACAAGGCGGAAACCACCCTCGTCCATGTCTCGATCTGTGAGGTTCGCCCCGTTGTGGTCCCCGATGAAAGTTTATTCATCCTCTGATTCAACGCTGTGTTCTCGCTTGCAGTCAGGTATGCTTGCGCAAACCAGCTGGTGCTTCTGACCTGGTGTCACACCTTGGGAGGTCATGGCGGCGCTCTCCCTGATGCTTGTTTCGTTTCTTCTAGCACCTTTCGACGCAGCGGGCTGCGCAGCACCCGTCGGTCGCCGATACGGCAGGTACCTTTTCGAGTCATCCGACGTATTGAGCAGTGCTGAGCCGTAATATAAACAAAAAAAAACGATAAATGCAGACAGAGCTACTTAGCCAAGCAGCAACAGCTTCGTCGTCTTCTTCCTCCTCTTGTTGAACAATAAAAAAATCTCAGCGTGCGCGTTAACTAATAGCCGAATTCTCCTGTCTCTCATTCCCCATTAGCAGCCATTGGCATGTACATTGAGCAATATTTGACAAGAAAGAGTTGCTGCGTTATACTCGCTGGGCGTAACCTCCTAGGTTTTAGAAAGGTTTAGCGAGCGTTGGGTCGCAGTGCCATGAATACAGTGAACTAGTATGTACCATGAACTCGGGGTGGTTAAAGGTGGGAAGTAGACACGAAGCAAGAGCCGTAAGAAAGTGTGCGTGTGCCACCTCTCGTTTACTCCTTGGAATGTCCGCTGGATAGCGGTGCTTCTATATGCGGAATATAGGATGAAAAGATGCGAGATGGTGGTACTTAGAGTGTTGACTAGATGGACGAACGGACACACAGACAGATGCATGGACGGACGCATGGATGGCTGCACGGACAGATAGACGCATGGACGGACGCAGGGGCGGGTGCGTGGACGAACGCAGGGATGGACGCACGAACAGACGTATGCACAGACGGGCGGATGGACGCACGGACGGTCACACAGACGCACGCATGGACGGACGGAAGCAAGTACGAATGGACGGACGGATGCTTCGTTCCACTCTCCATCATTCACCCCGTTGATATGCTGCCATTTTTTATGTTACATCTAAGCATTTGACACGAATGTCGCCTTCACTTAAAATGGATTTCAGTTATCACTTTTTTATATACGTTGTGGTGTGTATGTCAGCGATTGAGTTACCCGCAGTCTTATGTGATTCATCGTCGCCAGAAGCAAAAGCAAGATACGTTGCACATACTTCCACCAGCACTTTTTATTTAACCTTTTAGAGCCAGCTACAATGCTGATGCTTCTGCACCCTGAGTTTTAATACGACCAACAGCTTACGCGTTCCATGAGCCTTCCCTAAAATGGTCTTGTTTTCTGTAAAACCAATGCTTTCATCTGGAGTGGTGAATAAGTCCAATCGCTACACTCAGTTCACCAAGTGGCTTTAGACGTAATATGTACACGCTGTATTTCGATGTAAGTGCGCACGAGTTCAGCGACCGTATCGCTCATTGTTTGCAGGCGAACCGGGCTCGTCGGGCTCGCCTGGTTTAGACGGACGGGACGGCCTTCCTGGCGAGCCTGGCCTTGACGGCGTTCCGGGTCGGGACGGCATCGACGGGCTGCCCGGACGCGACGGACACCACGGGACGCCGGGAGTACCCGGCAGACCGGGTATAAATGGCACCGATGGTCAGTGAACTCGCTCTTTCATTTAGGCAGGGCTGTTTCTTTTTCAGAATTTCAAAACTGCAAACAACCAACGTGCTGTTCAACACACACGGAGGTTTAACTTTATGAAAGTTTAACGCTTAGCGGCGAGAAAACCCGGCCAGCCAGAACCGTTCCTTCGCGCACTTAGCAGAGCATCGTGAAACGACACGGACCAAGGGAAGTGCTATTCAGCACAGGCGCAAACTTCTGACTTCATTTAAGAACACCAAAGCAAGTCTCGATCAATATTGATCGGTTCGACACGTGCCGAAATTTCATGAAGACCATATCACTGATACCCCCCTCCTCCACCACCACCCACTCGCAAAGCAATTTTTGTCTTGCTATCTAGGAGGTGTGCAGAGTGGCCGACAGGCTTGGTCTTGTGGTTTTGGCGTGGGTTTCAACTAACTGTGCGCTAACGCGCGCTTGCAGGGCCTTAACGAAGTTTTGACCCATCCAACCTAACAGCAGGATCGTGTAATGGCCGTGCGCAAGCAAAAGCTTCACTGCTACCTTGAGATCAAGAGAGAAGATGGCGGGAGTAGAGGTAGTGTGTGAAACCCTTGTGTTACGAGTATGAATCTGACTCAAGGTGCGTCTAAGCAGTATCTAGTCAGAAAAAAAGCAAATCCTTTGAAATGCACAATAATATACCTCTTATCATTTGCATTCGTTGCGTGTTGACTATAGGTTTCATCGTTAAACTATAAACAGACGCTAAAATATTTCGCCTGTCTGAGAAGCAGTCTCCCGTAGTGGAGCTGAGTAGTTATGATGCTTGGAGGCTGACCTGTTGGTTGTTAGTTCAATCCGAGCGGTCACATGTCGATCACATATCCATCAGGACAGAGGCCTGCAGTGTACTGGGTGTTGTCAGTGTACGTTCCAGGAATAAAAGAATTGTGTCCTGCGGAACGCGAATGGGTGGCACACAAGAGTCAGACCCACGTATGGACCGGCAAAAGGTCAGAATTTTCGGAACCCTTCACTACGGCATCTGTCATAACTATATCGTGGTTTCGGAGCATAAAACCTCAGATATTATATCGTTATTATGCGAGAATTTCCCCAGTGGCTGCTCCTAGAAGCTGTTTAGAGAGAGAGAAAAGGTGGACACTGCGCTTTTATTTTGCTCTGCGCGAAAGACGCGCGCAAGCACCAAACTTGACAGCGAAGCGTAAAGTGACCCGCTGGTGCTAGTGAGATTACTCGCCTGTCTCCACGACATTATGCTGCCGTGCAGCATCTCATTTCATATTTTTGCGTCCCTTTTCCTAGTCACCGGAAATTGTGGTCTGACGGAACACAGAAGCCGCATTTTCTGAACGGCGTGCTCGCAGAATTTCGATAACGCCGTTAAAATTCGATAATGAATATCTGAACACATGTTGTTATCTTCAAATAATGGGTGCCCCATAAGTTATGACGCCCTAGAACCTTTTTATATGAATAACGTTTCTCAAATTAGTAATTAAAGTGTTAACGAGGCTGTGCCAATTAGTACTTTTATTTTTACTTTTGCTGCATCGAAGATTGTGCGCCTTGACGTAGAGTTCGTGTGCGAAGATGAAAAAGCCCTTACTGTAAGAGTACTTTTTAAATAAATATCCGTACTGAGTACAAAAAGAAAGTTGCATATATAATCCTTTGATTGTGGTCCTGTCCATATTGTTCCTGCGTAATGAAGGCTTTCGGCACTCATAATTTCACTGTATAATTATTGGGCCAGATAATATAAAGCAATAAATAAGCCCCACCACTTTACAAAAATACAAGCAACGTCTTGCTGCACGTTCTGGGAACAAAGAGATGCTTTATTTTTGATGACATTTTGCTCGGCTTATCAATGTTGCTCTTGCGGGCTCCCACGAAAAAGTGGCTGCCCCTGAGCGCATAAGCCGGCGTGTTCAGGAAGACTGCATCGCAAAAAATAAAGGGGGAACACTTCATCTTACCTGGAGCACGTTTTTTTACAAAAAAAATTGTTAAAGCAACTGTCTGTGGGCATGAGAGATAAAGATTGGGGAATTAGCGGTGCGAGAAAGAAAGTGAGCTTGCTGGCGTCGCGAACTCTTACCTCACAAATGTTCTCTCGCATAAAAAAAATTTTTTTTTAGTTCTTCTCGAAGCGGTACCACCTATCCATAAAGCTAATGTCATACACTGCTGCTTGCTCTAAGAAAATCGAATTATGCCAGAGCTCATGAATATTAATAAGCTGTCCCCAGCCAAGCAGATCTCGGCGATAAACTTAGAGTTGCCCACTCAATCAGCGACGGTAACGTGTCGAGTTTGGTTGGGGGCGGAGAGAGCCGAAAAGCGTGGAAAGTCTAACTTCCAACTGCGTCATTATTATTTTTGCTCATGATTTATTTAGCATGTGCATTTTGGTTCGAGCCCCTCCTTCTGCTTTCTTTTAACCTAATCAAGCTATTTTCTCTTCAGCGTTTTCGTTTGTGTATATGGCGCTGACATGAACTCGGCGCAATTGCTTCCGTGGGCTAAGTCACTTCGCGTGCAATTAACTCGTTAGTAGTTGTAGTGAAATGGCCAACTTTTCTTACTTACGACCCTGGAAGGATTTTCAGAACATTAAATGAAAGCACCTGCTGTTTACGTCCGTGAATCGAAATGCAAAATCCTTGCTTTGTTACTCAGCGTGGTTGGTGCGCATATAATGTACAATGTGTACGAACAAAAGATCATGATGAACAAAGATCATGATCACAAAAGCAGGGCGTTTACTTTTGTGACCAAAGCCCCAGGTGGTCAAAATTTCCGGAGTCCTCCACTACGGCGTCTCTCATAATCATATAATGGTTTTGGGACGTTAAACCCCACAAATCAATCAATTTTGTGACCAAAGGCCAAAAGCAAGAACACCAGAGCATGCGCCCACAGAAGTGCTTCGTTATCCTCCTCAAAGGCTGGCCACTATAGTTGCCAGTCTACGTTGCGTCAATATTAGGCTACAACAATAAAACAAGAAAAAAAATGGAAGTGCTAGTCAAATTAGCTCGGAAAACGCACATGCGTGCTACGAGTGCAAGTGTAAGTATGTAATTCATGGCGTGGCAGCCTTTCCCTCAAAGACCAAGCGCTTTAACTTTCTGTTTTACAGAGCTCATATTATTCGATACTTCTAGGGCCTTTCTAATCCCGCTTCATTTCCCTCTCTTTCAACAGTATGATGACAAACCTACTTGAAGCCCCTTAAAAATTGTGAAATGTATTAAAGACGTTCAATAAAGTTGTTACAAAAAACAATTAGAGACGTTCCCCATTCGATGCCTCTGTTATGTCTCAGCCCGTGAAACGTAAAAGAAACACGCTGATGCCACAACCAGACATAAAGTCAACTTGTACAAAGTCAAGAAAGCAGCGTCAGCTAGCTCCCTTGATAATACACTGTCAGTGGTGTGGTTCCTCCCCAGTCTTATAAACACAAACATTTTAAGTAGCACTCAAGACGCAATGACACAATGTTGGTTAAGGAGGTTTCTAAAGTGATTGCTTTGATAGGTCAGGGTATTTATAATTCCAGTGAGGGTAAGTGTGGGTAATGACTACATTTTAATACGTTATCGCAGTTCTTTTACAAGGAAATGATATAGGCACTCTCGGTGGATGTTTGCCGCATGTATGTATGTATGTATGTATGTATGTATGTATGTATGTATGTATGTATGTATGTATGTAGTATGTATGTATGTATGTATGTATGTATTATGTATGTATGTATGTATGTATGTATGTATGTATGTATGTATGTATGTATGTATGTATGTATGTATGTATGTATGTATGTATGTATGTATGTATGTATGTATGTATCACGTTAAAGAACCCCAGGTGGTCTAAATTTCCGGAGCCCTCCACTACGGCGTCTCTCATAATCATATAGTGGTTTTGGGACCTTAAACCCCACATATCAATCAATCATGTATGTATGTATGTATGTATGTATGTATGTATGTATGTATGTATGTATGTATGTATGTATGTATGTATGTATGTATGTATGTATGTATGTATGTATGTATGTATGTATGTATGTATGTATGTATTTGTGACAATAAGATAAATGGGAGACGTGGCCTGGCTCATACGCCATGTTTATTCCATTAAGCACTTCTTCCTCCTCAGCTTCTACCAACCATCTCTTCATACGTCACACGATTCCCCCTCCCCCGAAAGAAGGCATGGATTACGAACAAGCAGCAGTAAACAAGGAGAGATTGAAAAGTCACAAATGTCAAAATTCAAAATCGGTTCTATGCTTCAGGTGAGTTCCGTAAACTTTCAAAGACTTCAGGAGATAGTGCAGCAGTCCGGTTTACGCAGGAGTTCTGGTGCGTGAGGCTGACTGTGGCGTTCAGGAGAAGATAAGCGCGTCCTGCACAACTGCACTGGCCATGACACGGCTTCAGAAGCTGCGAAGAACCAACGAGGCTGGACGTCCTTGTAGAATTTGAAGGTCGGACGTCGTAGGCGCCGAGTTTTCTGTCGTGGGTGCTGTATTCTTTGTCGTGGTTGAGACAGAAGCATTGCTTCAAGCTTGCGTTCGCGAGAACCGAATTCGATGATACGATGTCAGTGTGCCTGCAATTTGCAAATGGTAACGTTCAGTCTCTTTCATGGTTTTCTGTGGTGGTATCTCCATCGGTAGGATTGTACACGAAGCCTTAATATCTCGTACAGAAGACTTCCTTGACGTTTCCTTCTACGAATATGGCTCAGATGTTGACTTGGTCTTTCCTTTAGCTGGTCTCGTTTCTGACGACCATCCTTAAGCCACAAATCTGCTTGTGATCTCATTTTAGTTTGCGTTGTGCTTGATGTAACTGCTGTAGTTTCCGGAGTTCTTTGAGTTCTTGATGGCACTGCTGATCTTGCGGAATCTTACGAGGTGGTACTCCTTTAGTAACACGAGCCTTCTTTTTCTTCATAGTTGATGCGACTAGTATATAGTTGGT